GTTTTAAGCGTGGTATTATAGGAGCATACCACATAACCTTGGCAGGGATTTTCTTTCTAGGACGTTGTTCACCCTCGACGTCACCAGGATCATCGCGCCTGATCTTATACCGCAAAGCTTTACATACCGGGCATCCATCCAAATTCTCGTATTCATTGCCATGGTAGAGGATGCAGTCATTAGGACATGCATGTATCTTCTGGATTTTTAATCCCAAAGGGCAGACAACCTTTTTTGCTTCGTACGTAGTGGTGGGCAATTTATTTGGCTTCGGAAGCATCTTCTTTATGAGGTTCAATAAATTCCCAAATTCCTTGTCGGATACACCATTCTTTGCCTTCCACTGTAGCAATTCCAGTGTTGTACCCAGCTTTTTTTGCCCCTCTTCGGCCGTCGGGTATAGCAACTTCCTATGATCCTCAAGCATGCGCTCGAACTTAACTTTCTCTTTTTCACTTTCCCATTTTTGTTGTGCATCATGAATGGCATCGCCAAGAGCATCACTGAGATCATCTTCTACCGCTACCTCTTCTTCATCTCCCCCCATTGTAGTATCATCAAAGGCACCATACTGAGCAATAATGTCATCAATGTCTAAATCTTCTCCTTCACCTTCTTCCATCATGACCCCGCTTTCTCCATGCTTAGTCCAACATATATAGTTTGACATGAAACCTGACTTAAGCAAATATGAATGAAGACTCATTGAGCTTGAATATTCCTTTAAATTCTTATATAGGGCACATGGACAGCACATGAAACCATCCCGCTTATTTGCCTCGGCCACACCTAAGAAATAGTTCAAGCCCTCAATAAAGTCTTGGGAGCGGCGATCGGCATTGTACATCCAATGGCGTGACATAATCTGTATTACACGACAAATTATGAAAACCTTGAACATAATTAAATATTTTATTACACAACATAAATGACACACACACGATTGATTAATTAACTAAGCCTGGCTACAACGTAAGCAATCCCAACTATCACTAAACAAACTAAAACTACAATGCACTTCAGTAACATAATTATTTCGTGATCGTACGCAACTAAAACAGACAAATCATTCTTCTATTGAATATCAATAAGCTTCTCCTGCTAGCTCATCGCCTCATCGATTGGCAATTCTAATTTCGCACGTATGTAGCGTAATCTTCCTCCCAATACCAACCATCACATCCATTGCCCTCCCACTAAAATTAAAGCCAAAAATATTTAGTCAAAAATATTCAAGAAAAGCAGTCAATTAGCCATAATAATCAAATGTGTAAGAAACTCACATCGCGATCCGGGCACTTGTAGAAAACACGACCCTTGTTGGGTCCCTGTCTCTTGACTCGGTACTCCATCACAATCTACGCTTACACTTGCCGCAGATAATGAGAGGGAGTTCGCCTCGATCGTTCAAGAACCTAACGAGAGGTCGAGGATCCCGTACCGATTGTCATCTACTTTCTATACTTATTTTTGCAAACCATCTGTAAATTTCACATTTTCTAAAATAATATATTTAAACAAAACTAAAATTATATATTTATCTAACTAAACCATGAAATATGTACTATGTATAATAGTAAAATACCAAACTATCAAGTGATTTTTCTATTGTAAATCATCATGTGATTTTGAGCTAAAAATGACATAGAAATCACATAGCTCAAAAACATGTTTCAATAAATAACCATCCGTACTAGTTGACCTTGCTTACGTGATCATCTCGGCGAGCATTTCTCCACCGGACGGCACCGTACTTGGCCAAGGAAGAGCTCCGATTCTACGAGGAAGGGAACACGGTCTTCCACGACCGCTGCCGCTCTCCTCTCGAGAATCAAAGCTCCTCCTTGACGTCCGTTACCGCTTCGGCAGAGAAAATGCTCGCCGAGATGATCACGGTCCGCAAGTTCAACTAGTAACGGATTTTCTACAATTTTCTAACAATTTTCTAAGTTTTTCATGTCATGGAAAAATTAATTCTAAGATCACGTAAGTCAGCGGGGACGAGGATGGCGCGTGCTCAATGAGGACGAAGCGAGGCGTGATTTTGATGAACTAATTTAACTTTTGTTTATCCAAACATATATGCAAATCATCATGTGATTTTGAGCTAAAATGACATATAAAATCATAATAAAGTCCAACATATAAAGTTACACATGCATCTACATCATAAAATGAGATAAGCTACTTGATAAAACATAAGAGGATTAAGTTTGTTACCTCCAAAATCGAAGAGCAACACCAATGGAAGGGAGAGAGCAAGAACAACACAAAAGTTTGAAGAACAGAGGCAGTGAGTTTAAATGGAATGGCTCGGGCTCGGAGAGGAAGAAATGAGCCGGTGTATAGGCCGGCATAATTAGTCCTGGTTAGGTGGTCAAACTGGGACTAAAGATTAATATTTATTCCCGGGGTATCACCCAAACCGGGACTAAAACCTTTAGTCCCGGCTGGTATTACCAACCGGGACTAAATGTTTACCTTTAGTCCCGGTTGGTAATACCAGCCGGGACTAAAGATTCCTGCCACGCGGACGACCGTTGGGCAGGGACCTTTAGTCCCGGTTGGTATTACGAACCGGGACTAAAGGGTCCTTTAGTCCCGGCGGCAAAAAATGCCGAAGCTAATGTCAAATTGGGACATCGTTCTAAAGTCTGTTCTCTAGTAGCGAAAATTCTGAAGAAGGAAAGAAAAAACTCCTCAAAGGCAAGCTTGGGGACTGTTGGAGCACCAAAACGCTCGAAAAGATAGGTTTTTATAATTGGGTGATGGGAATGTGGAACTAGTATTGATGATATGAGGTATGAACCATTATGTAGCTCGTTCATTCTCGCTAACGCTGATGATGATGGCGCCATGTTCTATTCTACTACAATACGAGTATACACATCGAGTGACTTGTCTCATCAGCTCTAGCACGTCGATCACGTTATCATGCCTCCTGAGCTCTAGCACCAACACCACGTACGGAGAATGAAGAGCCAGGATGAACCTAAATGAAAAGTTTGAGGACTAAAACAACCACTTTAGTTCATAGGTGGAATTGAACCTAAAAGTAAAATTTGAGGACTTAAATTTACTTTGATGATTTAGGCACGAAACTGAACCCAAAAGTGAACTTTTAGGACTAAAATGACCACTTTGGTTCTTTAGGGACGAAATTAAGCATCTAGGGACAGTCAAGGGACAAAAATAGCTATTCCACCATTTGCAATCAGGAGATGCTAAGAGGTAGAGAGGTATGAACACCAACCTATGGCAACAAAATAAGTTAGCCTAGCTCAGCTTCTTCATTTTAGTACAAATGGGTGCTATGAGGAGGAGAAGCGTGGTCAGGAAAAACTAAAAAAGTATGTTGTTTGGCTTCTAGTTTTAGCCTATTTGATCATAAACAACTTATAACTTATATCAAACATGCCCTATATATACTCCGAAAATTAGTTTCTAACTACTGAAATTTGGTCCTACATAGCTCCTAAGGTATATGTAAAAAAAAACTTACTAATTCAATTAATAATCGGTGGTTGAGATGAATGAACTAGTTGACTGAGCTTCTTTCTTTGAAAACACGATAGGCTTGTTTGGATGACGCCCTGGCCTAGGAGTGTTTGGCCATGCATGTCAATAATCCAGCCGGCCACATGAAGTTGAAATTGTTGGAATGGAATGCCTATCTCTAGTTCAGAAAATTGCATTCAGGTTTCAATCCAAACATGTCCTATCTTATGGTATTGGACATGCGACATGCCAAAAAGAGATGAATCTAAAAAAAAATATTTTTTTGAAAAAAGGTGAATTCGTGCCATCAATTAGACTACTCTAAGTATCATGACATAGTAGCCATTCAATCTAATCCATTTTCTGAAAAGCTACTAAAAAGTTGCAACTATATTTTGAATTAACCATCTCTAACCTATATAATCTAAATTGCCTTAGATTTACATATAAATCACCACATAATCTAAGTAACCTCCAAACATTTTAGCCTATAGTACTGGAGAACGTTAATAGATCTAATTAGTGGTGACTTAATTAGAAGGGCCATTTTTTTATTCTCATATATGGACTTGTGTCAGATGGCCCTGTTCGCTTCGCTGAAAAAACAAGCGAAAATACTGTTCCGGCTAATTTATTGTGAGAGAAAAACACTGTTCTGGCTAAAAAAAGAAGCTGAAAAGTACAGATTATAAGAAAAATGAATATAGCCGATGGGTAGTACCTTGGCTTCTATGCTAACCAAAGTGGGAGCGAATTTTGGACGCGTTCAAATAGAAAAAAGAGGAAGGGGAGAGGAGGGAAATTGATCGGTAAGCGAAGCTGCTTAACATCCCAGGTGCCCAACCCAAGCAGTGGGAGAAGCAGTGGTGGAGCTAGAGCAAATCTGAAAGGGGTGTGTTTTCCTTTGTGGGTGCGAGAGTTTATAATGGCTGCGTTCGGCTGACCCAAAACTTTTACTGTAGCGGCTGAAAAGCAATGTAGCGGATGATATTTTGTGAGAGAAAAACACTGTTCCGGCTGAAAAAAGAAGCGGATCAAGCCGGGTTTGGGGTCAGCCGAACGCAGCTAATGTGTGGATATATATATGGTAAAAATTTGGGTCTTTATCACTGTTTTTTAAATTTTCGGTGGGAGAGTTCAGTATAGCTCCGCCCATGTGGAGAAGGAAGAGGAAGAAAAAGCGGCGGTCACAGACTCACAGTCGAAGCTGCAGTAGTGTTGTTGTGCTGTCGTCTGCTGCGCGCGCGCGCTCACCTGGCCTCCCTCCTCCCTTCTCCCTTCTCCCGGAATCCACCACGTGGTCTTCCGTCTCCTCCACCCCTGTCTCCCGCTTCCCCTCCCAAACTCTATATATACCCTCCTCCGCCTCCTGCTCATCCATTCATCCATCCCCCTCCCTCCGTCCCCTCCACACTCTCCCCACGCTCCCCCGCAGTGTCGGAATCCTCGGACCGGCCGCAGCGTCGTCGCTCCATCTCACACTCTGCTCTCTAGCAGCAGCGATGCAGGCCCTCACAGCGAGCTCCCCTGCTTCTTCATCCTCCACCTCCGTACACCGGCGAGGCGGCGGCGCCCCTCGCACGCGCACGCGCAGCGCGGTCCGCTTCGCCCCGCCCCGCGCCGCGGCGGCCGCCGTGCGCTACGCCGCGCCCCTTAAGCCGGCAGCGCCCATTGCACCCGCTCCCGCTCCCTCTCCGGCGCCCGCCCCGGCGGCGGCCGGCGAGCAGGGCTTCGGCGAGAAAGGCCTGAGCTTCCTGCAGCGCGCGGCGGCGGCGGCGCTGGACGCGTTCGAGTCCGGCGTGATCGCGAACCTCCTGGAGCGTCCGCGCTCGCTGCCGCGGTCGGCGGACCCGGCCGTGCAGATCGCCGGCAACTTCGCGCCCGTCGGCGAGCAGCCGCCCGTGCGGTCGCTGCCGGTCTCCAGCCGCATCCCGCCCTTCATCTCCGGCGTGTACGTCCGCAACGGCGCCAACCCCTGCTTTGAGCCGGCGGCGGGGCACCACCTGTTCGACGGCGACGGCATGGTGCACGCGGTCCGCATCCGGAACGGCGCCGCGGAGTCCTACGCGTGCCGGTTCACCGAGACGGCGCGCCTCCGGCAGGAGCGCGCCCTGGGGCGGGCCGTCTTCCCCAAGGCCATCGGCGAGCTGCACGGCCACTCTGGCATCGCGCGCCTGGCCCTCTTCTACGCGCGCGGGCTCTGCGGCCTCGTCGACCCGTCCCGTGGCACCGGCGTGGCCAACGCGGGGCTCGTCTACTTCAACGGCCGACTCCTCGCCATGTCCGAGGACGACCTGCCGTACCAGGTGCGCGTCACCGCCGACGGCGATCTCCGCACCGTGGGGCGGTACGACTTCGACGGGCAGCTTGCCCGGTGTGCGTCCATGATCGCGCACCCGAAGCTGGACCCGGACTCCGGCGAGCTGTTCGCGCTCAGCTACGACGTCATCAAGCGGCCCTACCTGAGGTACTTCTACTTCCGGCCCGACGGCACCAAGTCGGACGACGTGGAGATCCCGCTGGCGCAGCCGACGATGATCCACGACTTCGCCATCACGGAGCGGTTTCGTGGTGGTGCCCGACCACCAGGTGGTGTTCAAGCTGGACGAGATGTTCCGCGGGGTTCCCCGTGGTGCTGGACGAGAGCAAGACCTCCCGCTTCGGCGTGCTGCCCAAGTACGCGCGCGCGACGCGTCGGAGATGGTGTGGGTGGACGTGCCGGACTGCTTCTGCTTCCACCTGTGGAACGCGTGGGAGGACGAGGCGACAGGGGAGGTGGTGGTGGTCGGGTCCTGCATGACCCCTGCCGACTCCATCTTCAACGACGATTCCGACTCCGACGACGACCGGCGACTCCAGAGCGTGCTGACCGAGATCAGGCTGGACACGCGGACGGGCGCGTCACGCGGCGCGCCGTGCTGCCAGCGTCGGCGCAGGTGAACCTTGAGGTGGGGATGGTGAACCGCGGCATGCTGGGGCGGAGGACGCGGTACGCGTACCTGGCCGTGGCGGAGCCATGGCCCAAGGTGTCCAGGTTCGCCAAGGTGGACCTGGCGACGGGCGACCTCGTCCGGTTCGACTACGGCGAGGGGGCGGTTCGGCGGGGAGCCCTGCCTCGTGCCGAACGAGGGCGCCCCCGCGCGCGGCGAGGACGACGGGTACATCCTGTCCCTGGTCCGCGACGAGCACGCGGGGACGTCGGAGCTCCTGGTGGTGAACGCCGCCGACATGCAGCTGGAGGCCACGGTGCAGCTCCCGTCCCGTGTGCCCTACGGCTTCCACGGCACCTTCATCGGCGAACGGGAGCTAGAGGCCCAGACCTGATGATGATTTCTTGATTCCTTGGTTCTTTCTTGACACTGATGATGACGACTGATGATCGATCGATCCATCCCCCGCCAGGCTTTCCGCCGCCGCCAGGCTCTGCGCGTTGGCCCGTAGGTCCCCATCGGCCAGATGAATGGGTCACTTTGGCCTTTAGCTGGCCAGCGTGGCCATGCAGTGCCAGCCATGGCTGCGTCGGCGAACGCGGTGGCTCAGGGACCGTCTAGTTGCGAAGACGAATCAATCCTGGGTGCTTGGTGCATAACGGGTCTCTTGCGCAATAGTGAGCCGAGACGCCGCATAGTATCTGGATAGGGTAGGGGCTACTTTGCAAAAGGCATGGGGCGCTCCCGCCGCGCCCGCGTTGGGTTGATGGGCTGTTGGGCCGAATAGTTGCCGCTGGTCCTTCCATTTTCAAAGGCATTTCTAATTTAGTTTCTTAGGCAAAATTGTGAATTCAATATCAATTTGTGTAGCTGTCCAGAAATTATGAAACCAATTTTATTAGATTCCTAAAATCATGACTTATCTAATAATGTATTTTGTTCACCTAGTTTCATAGAATTTTCTAGAGTAGACTAAGTAATTTGAAGCACTTAAACTGGGTAAAATAAGAACTTGTAGGAATTATTGTGATGAATTGGTAGAAGTACTGGCCCTGAAATTTTTACAGTAGATTTCTAACAATATTAAGTGCTCACTGTAATTTTTGTAGCCCCATAGAAATTAGTTTGTTAGGGTAACTAAATGAGCTCTAGTCTAAAAATATATAGTTAATCAATCAAATGTCAAAAATAATTGAGGGTTTGTAGAACAAAAATATTTTCTGAAACAAGCATTACTTGACGATGTGGATACGCAGAGTAGTACGTTAGTCATTAAGCTAGCTTGTTAGCTCACAGAGCGTATTCGTATTATAGAGTTGCTGTTATCATTGATTAATTGCGTCTCTACGTTTCATCCACATATATCATAATAGGAATAATGATGGATCGTGGAGTTGACTAAGGTAGCGGAAAAGATGGTGCCTCGATGCTCGTGTCACCATGATGGAATGCTAACTTTTGGTTATACCTTATCCAGGCAAGCGCCGGTGCATAACCCCTATTATTCTGCACTTTATTTTATGCTTGTGCATTAAGTTTAAAGAGTTGAATGAAACCCACTTGCATATATAGATCCTTATCTTATGAGTTTTACTAGTATGTCAGGATCATGTAAATGGCTATGTTACAGGACTCCGGTAGAAGTCGATTGATTGCCTGTCACTCGCGAGAGATATGAAAGATATTATTATTGCTATTATATTATTATCACCTGGAAAATATATATGAATGATAATTGGAGATCGGACGGAATGGTACTTTGGATCTAGACTTGGTTGGTATTCGAGCGAGGTTCGGGTTGCACTTTGTTTCGCCTATGTCGGTTAAGGACCGGTCGTTGCATTGGGTTTTAGGCAGGTCACAGACTTATTATCCTGAGCACATACTTGTTTATTGGAGCAGGAAAGGCTTGTTGCTCTCTTGTCGTGGGATCTGACTATTTCTGGACCGACTGATTAGAGACGGGGATGGTGGAGGTCTAAGCACCACACTGAGTCTAGGACTTAGATGTGGGGGCTTGGAGTCCAAGTTTGGACGAAGACATGGACCCCTTGACAGGAGAGTGGTGGGTTGGTCTTGCTTGTGCTCGGGGTACAAGCGGGTTGTGTGTTTCGGGGTATCCAGCTGGGCACATTGATTCACGAATCACCGGGTAATCCAGTACGACTTATCTACAGTCTAGCACTGTAGTAAGAACTAGAATATGAAATATGGTAAAATGGTTCTGATTGCTTACCACCTACTTGAAAGTAGCATAGGTGCTTACATAGAATGGTTAGTTAATGAACTAATGATGACTGCTAATAAAATTTGATATAAGGACGCACATGTTAGTAATGATTCCTGCAGATGCAATAAAACCACAAGCTAGATAGCCTTGTATCTCCTTAAAGTCTTTTCTTTCCTCCTGACGGGTAAGTCTTGCGTAGTACAATTGAGTCCTCAGGGTTTGTTCTACCCTGTTGTAGGTGACAGAAACATGTGGAGCTGACACTTGTGTGTGGAAACCTCCTGGTGGGCTCAGCGAGGATTTCCTTAACGTTGCGGACATAGAGTTTATTTGAAGCTTCCACCCAAAAGGTTTTACAATGGAAAACTTATAACCTGTTACGATGTATATAAAGGATGAACATGTTAATGTTTAACTTGTCATTAAATGATTTTATCTCCGCTGAAACTCTGATAACATGGTTATTTTCCGTTGTTATAAACAATAAATATTATACTCTGATGTCGCATGAAAAGTGATGCAAGAAATGACTTAAGAATATTGTAAGCTTTATTCTCTCATTTGTGATCCTGATGGAAAAATGTGGACTTTCGGGTTCTCCCTTGGGGTGTACTCGACAGAACTGCGTAATTTAGTGTCCTCCCTTAAGTACTTTGTGTCTAATGAAAGACAAGTACTCCTGGGAGGCATTAGATTAGGCGGTTCTACCACAGGTGGTCAACAAGCGGGTTGTGTGTTCTAGGGTACCCAGCTGGGCACATTGATTCGCGAATCGCCGCGTAATCCGGTACGTCTTGTCTACCATCTAGCACCGTAGTAAGAACTGGAATATGAAAGATGGTAAAATGGTTTTGATTGCTTACCACCTGCATGAAAGTAGCATAGGTGCTTACATAAAATGGTTAGTTAATGAACTAATGATGAAAGCTAATAAAATTTGATATAAGGACGCACGTGTTAGTAATGCTTCCTGTAGATGCAATAAAACCACAAGCCAGATAGCCTTGCATCTCCTTGAAGTCTTTTCTTTCCTCCTGATGGGTAAGTCTTGCGGAGTATAATTGAGTACTCAGGGTTTGTTCTACCCTGTTGCAGGTGACAGGAACATGTGGAGCTGACACTTGTGTGTGAAAACCTCTTGGTGGGCTCATCGAGGATTTCCTTAACGTTGCGGACATAGAGTTTATTTGAAACTTCCACCCAAAAGGTTTTACAATAGAAAACTTATAACCTGTTACGATGTATATAAAGGGTCATCATGTTAATGTTTAACTTGTCATTAAATGATTTTATCTCCGCTGAAACTCTGATAACGTGGTTATTTTTCGCTGTTATAAACAATAAATATTATACTCTGATGTCGCATGGAAAGTGATGCAAGAAATGACTTAGAATGTTGTAAGCTTTATTATCTCATTTGTGATCCTGATGGAAAAATGTGGACTTTTAGGTTCTCTCTTGGGGTGTACTCGATAGAACTGCGTAATTTAGTGTCCTCCCTTGAGTACTCTGTGTCTAATGGAAGACAAGTACTACTGGGAGGCATTAGATTAGGTGGTTCTACCACAGGTGGTATCAGAGCATAAATAAGGAAATAAAATTTCAAAACCCTTTTCTAAACTAAAGTTTGACAACCTATTTCGATTCTTTGATTTTTTTCGAATATGTCAAATTTGAACTGTTGGTGCATGGAATATTGCAATGTAGTGTTTCGAAAAATATTATTCATGTTAATTGGTGCATGTGGAGTCCCTATTCACGAACTCGCATCAACTTTCACGCATCTTCTTCGCGTAACATGACGACCGACTTGCCGGAAAAGTATTTTAAAATTATATAAAATCCATACGAAGTTCGAAAATCACGAAACTTGGTGAGATATCATGTTATCGCATGTGTAGGCTGTGGTAAAAAATTGAGAAGGTTTCGAGTGAGTTACGACGTCGGATGCCTGAAACCCAGACATCTCCACATGTGAAACTTCTCAATTTTTTTAGGCATCTGACGTCACAGCTTGCTCAAAAACTTCTCAATTTTTTTACCATAGCCTACACATGCGATAACATGACACCTCGACAAGTTTCATGATTTGTATGGATTTTATATAATTTAAAAACACTTTTCCAACAAGTTCCTCGTCATGTTACGTGAAGAAGATGCCCGAAATTTGATGCGAGTTCGTGGATAGGGACTCAACATACATCAAATACCATGAATAACAGTTTTCGAATCACTAAATTGCATTATTCCATCCACCTACAGTTCAAATTTGAAATATTAAAAAAAAAATCAACGAAAAGAAATAAATTAGGGAAATATATAAAAAATCAGATTTGGTCCAAATTTTAAAATTGAGTTTTAAATAATGTATTATAGCACCACAAAAAAACAAGGTTCAAAAAACCAAAAAAAAAATCTTTGCTGAGGGCCTAGCCTGGCCCTCGGCAAAGGGGGTCTTTGCCGAGGGCCATCTGCCAATAACCCTCGGCAAAGAATATTTACAAAAACATAAAAAATATTTGCCGAGGGCCCAGGATCTGGGCCCTCGGCAAAGCGCCCAACCCTAAATCGGCTAGCGGGCTGGCCCAAAATCTCCGCCCACATTTCTTACGCCGCCCCACCACCCCGCGCGGCCCGCCGCCCCTGCGCGCCGCTCCAGCGCCGCCCCGTCGACGCCGCCCCACCGCCCAGAGCCACCCCGGGGGCGCGCCCTGCCTCCCCTCCCCGTCTCGGTCGAGCAAGGGGAGCTCGGCCGCCCCGGCCGGCCCTCCGGCGGCCCCCCGCGCCGGCAGAGACACCGACCCCGTCCACCGGACAGCCCCGCCCAGCTACCCCAGATCCGTTCGTTCACTGACGACCCTGTTCACCGGCAGCCAACCCCACCCTCCTTTTCGTAGCATCCCCGGCAGCCAACCCCGCCCTCCGTGTCGCCGGCGCCGGCGGGATGGCTTCGTCGGCGGCGTACCCCGACGCGGACGAGAACCCGGAGGCCATCATCACCCGCATTGAGCAGAAGTCCCAAAGATCGAGACCCTCCTCAAGCAAAGATGCCCCCCCTTCCTCTCCTCTCGACCCTCCCGGCTTTTGATTCGCTGCTCATTTTCTCCATGGCGTGGGGCAGGTCGAAGCCGGTGGAAACCCCGAAGACGGCGCTTCGAGGTCGCGCCGCCAAGACCCG